TCTCGCGGAGACGGGATATTTGAGTTTGCGCCCGCCAGGAACATGACGGCCTGGTGGGAGGGAGGGCGGGAGGGCGGGAGGGGGGGGAAGGGGTCAGCGGAGGGGCGGGAGGGGCGGGAGGGGCGGGAGGGAGGGAGGGGCGGCAGGGAGGGGCGGGATTGGGGGGGAGGGGCGGGAGGGGGTGGGTGGGCGGAGGTGCGGGCGCCTGCTCGAGCGGAGAGAAGGACATTCGGCCGGCGGAGAGGCGGACCATCGAGGCAGGCATCACGACGCGCGCGGTGGCGATGGTGCGTGCCTGCAGGGCACGTGCGGGCCCGTCTTGGACATGTCCTGGACGTGTCTCGTGAGGCGGCTGCTGCGCGCCATTTGAAAGACGTCGGGCGCTCCTCCGCCCTCCATCATGGGCGTGCCTGCCGTGGCGGTGGAGGGGGGGGGTCGGGCGGGCGGGGATCCGGCCGGGGTGAGAGAGGGAGGCAAAACGGGGGCGAGGGGATGCGGCTCGGGAGGGGGGAGGGAGCGGGGATGTGGCGTGGGCAGAGGAAGACGGAGAGTCTGCCTGCGTGGTGGGTCGGGGACGGGTCGGGCGGGGGAGAGAGAGAGGCACCCTCGATTGGGACGAGCGCGTTGATGGGGACCGACTCCGGGTGCTCCGGCATCGTCGCGAGCTCGTACAGCAGCCCCACCCGGTCCTCCTCCGACTCGCCTCGGGGGTCAGAGCAGAGGTGAGAGGTGAGAGGTGAGAGGTGAGAGGTGAGAGGGCAGAGGTGAGAGGTGAGAGGTGAGAGGTGAGAGGGCAGAGGTGAGAGGGCAGAGGCTAGAGGTCAGAGGGTGGATCGGTCAGAGGGTGTGGCGCCCTCTGAAGACTCGCCCGCGCCGCGGTGCAGAGGGGGCTGGCTCGTCGCGGGCGGCGCCTCCCGCCCTCCCCTCCCCGCCGCTCCTCCCCTCCCCTCCCCCGCGCACCGAGCCCGAGGATGCCACCGCAGCAGACCGAGATGCCCGCCTTGCGCACGTTTGCAATCGTCTGCAGCCGGTCGTCGTAGGAGCGGGTGGTGATGACGTTGGGGTAGTGCTCGCGCGAGGTGTCGAGGTTGTGGTTGTACGCGGTCAGCCCCGCCCGCTTCAGCTCCATCGCCTGTGTCTCGCTCAGCATGCCCAGCGTGCAGCACACCTCGAGCCCCATCCCGTTGACCTCCTCAACCATCTTGAGGATCTTGCCAAACGCGCCCTTCTTGTTGCCCATCTCGCGCCACGCCGTGCCCATGCAGAAGCGAGTCGAGCCCGCCGCCTTGGCGCGCCGCGCCGCCTCCGTCACCGCGTCCACGCTCATCAGCGGCTCCGGCTTGACAAAGGTCTTGTACCGCGTCGACTGCGCGCAGTACTTGCAGTCCTCGTTGCAGCCGCCCGTCTTGATGGAGAGCAGTGTGCACTTTTGCACCTCTAGCGGATCGAAGTGCTGCCGGTGCACGGTCGACGCCTGGTGCAGCAGCTCCGTGAAGGGCAGCCGGTAGATCGCAGCAATCTCCTCGCGCGTCCAGTCGGTGCGCACGGCAGCGGGCTTGGGACAGCAGGAGCTGAGGAGCCGGGATGGCTGGCGGAGCGAGCGGGCCACGACAGACCTCATCGAGAGGTGGAGCGGCGAGCGTCGAGCTGAGCACCCACCCACACACACTCAGTCCTATCACTCGAGCTCACGCCGAAAAGAAAGTATTTTCCCGGGTTGTCTGTTTTCGGTCTTGATCAGGGGGACAGGGGCACAGGTGGGGCTCTCCTGCTCCTGACAAGGGACACGACAGGCTCGCAGCGCGGTGCACGGTGGACTCCCAACTCCACGGGCGGCTCAGTCTAGCGACCTTCTTCCAGCTTGTCGGAGCACTTGGAGCACTTGGAGTGCAATCAGTAACCTCACATCCAGGGCCGAGGAGCCGCACTCGGTTTTCTTTAATTTCCCGGCCGACCAATCGCGTGCCGCTGGTCAGTGGCATATTTCACGCTGATGCCGCTCGGGCCGCGGCTCCGCACCTCCACCGGCGGGCTCGTCTACCTCTCGAGGTCGCCGCCTCCGGTGCCGTGCGTGACATGCGGGCTGCCCCTTCCCGCAGGTCAGGAGGAGTGCGCGTGTGGAAAGGACAATCGATACGAGACGAGCTTCTGGGAGGTGAGTGAAGCGGTAGAGACCGCGTGGGAGGAGCTCGACGGCGTCACGCTAGTAAGCGGAGGTGGCGCCGTATGTGGCGAAGATGACTGGCCTCCGTGGCCGGAGCCACCGGAAGTGCCACCCGGTCGGGCGGTCTCCCGTCATGAGAGCCAGGCTGGTGAGGAGCTGGGGCTCGAGCACTGGAACCTCTCCGCGCCTGGCTGGACGGCAGCGGGCGGCTGGGTCGCCCGGCACGGCGGCACGGCGGCTCCAACGGAGCCTGCCCCGATTCGGTGGGGCAGTGCGGGGAGCGGCGATTGGCAGCTCATGCCCTGCCCGCAGTGTGCGCCTCTGCCGTGCGCGAGCAGCGGGCACTTTAAGAGCGACGAGGAGCGCGATTGGTGGGTGAAAATGCTCGGGCGGATGGGGTCGTAGCGACTAAAAAACAGTGAAGGCTCAGACCGCGAGTCGGCCTCTCGCAGCGCGGCGAGAATGTGCACGGACGGAATCTTGTGATACTCTGTCTCGCGCGCGCCAGCCGCCACACCCCCACACACACCGCGCACACCGCCCCGCGCACGCCCGCACGGCGCACCGGCCACACCGGCCACGTGCAACCGCCACAACCGACCCCAGACTGGGACCCCCGCCACCTGCCCACCTCAAGCCTCCGGGTCGCCGCGGTGCGGTTCGCGCAGCGCCGCGTGCGCCTCCGCGGTGCGGTCGGCCAGCACCTCGTGCACGAGGTGAGAGCCGCCGAGCAGCGGAGTCACGTGCGTGCGCAAGCCGGCCGAGCGGCCCCGCGCGGCGTCGAGGATCTGCTCGACGTCGCCGCCCGGCCCGGCGTGCCTGCCCGGCTGCAGGAAGGCCATCGCTACGACCACGTCTCCGCTGTCGTACGGCGGAGCCCCTCCCACCACCCGCTCGAGCAACGGCTCTGCAAACGCGTACTGCTCGCCCGGCCGCCGCTCCATCGAGGCGGCGATCACGGATGCGCGCGGGCCGAGGAGCTCGGCGACGGTCGCGGCGAGCCGGTCGCGCACCGCCACGACTGCCCGCGAGGCCGACCCGTGGTCGACGACCACGACTCGCAGCGGAAAGGACAGCCCTCGCGCGCGGCCGAGCCGGAGCACCGCCGCAGCGAGCGCGCGGCCAACCCGCGCGTCTGCGGGTGCGGCCGTGTCGACGAGGCACGGCGCCGCGGCGATGCGGCGCGGCGCGGCGGGGTCGGCGCGCGCCGCGCGCACCGCCTCGGCCAGCCCGTCGCTCGGCCCAAGAAAGAGCGGCACGATGGCGGCGGCGTCGACACCGTCCTCGGCGAGCTGCCGCAGCGCCGACTGCAGCGTGCGGGCCGGCCTGCCGGCGAGCGCATCGGCGGCCACGCCGTCGGACCAGCGGAGCGAAATGGGCTCGACCGCACCACCGGTGAGCAGGGAGAGCCGCTCGGCAGCCGCGCGGAGCGCGAGCGTGGACGCGGCCCGCTTCGAGCCGTTGTCGACCAGCAGCGTCGCCGGCCTCGAGCCGGTGGTGGGAGCACCGACTGCGGCCAACAGGAACATATATGTTGTGTAATCGCCGAAGGAAAAAACAAATTGGCCCCGTTATGAAAGCGGGCGTGAACACGACAAACTGACGGATCCGCTCCTGACAGTCGCACGCACCGCGCTGCGGCGCGCTTTGTTTGAAGTCAAAAGTCCCCAACTTCAGAATCATCGTGCTTTGAGTGGGGTTGTTTGGTGTTGGGGTTTGGGTTGGTTGAGTTGGGTTGTCCGAGTGGGGGCCAACCTCGGAATGTAACACCAGGATGGCTGTGCTGGCTCCTACACAGCCATCTTACCTAAGGATGGCTGAGCTAGCTGCAGTGCAGCCACATCCTCCAGTGTAATGGCTGCAATACACACACGGCAGCCATTCCTTGGTAGACATGGCTGGAGACGCACTACCGCAGCCATACCGCCCGCCTCGAGGTGAGCCCTCTTGGCTTAGCTGGCTACATCGCAGCCATCTTGGGTAAGATGGCTGTGGGGACAGCTATTTCAGCCATCTAATATGGCTGGGGCACAGTCAGTGCAGCAATCCTCCGGAGCATGGCTGGTGATAATTCGATGGCAGCCGTCCGCCTCCCCCGCCACACGCACAAATGGCTGCGCGCTTGTCGCCCCCCGGCCTCGCGGGACGGCTGCCATCGGCTGCCATCGAATTACCACCAGCCATGCTCTGGTGTCTGGAGGATGGCTGCCTAGAGCTGTCAAACGTTAACTTTGGGCCTAACAGTTGCACTATTGTTGGCTGAAAATCCTCAACGTTGTTCAAGTGTTCTCCCCAGCCCAAGCTGTTACTGTTTGTTACTGTTGTTACTGTTGTTCAGTGGCCAGCAAGCAGAAAATGCCAAAAAACCCGGTTAAAACCCGAAAATACCTGGGGTTTTCCAGGTATTTTCGGGTATTACCCGCACTGGACGCTGGAGATCGTCGTGGGTCACTGCCAGGCCTTCCTTATTGTTGTTCAGCTGGCCTAACGTTAGCTACTGTTGTTGGGGAGCCCCACTGTTGTTCTGTTGTTACTGTTAACACTAGCAACACTGTTCAGCTCTTAACGTTTGACAGCTCTATAAGGCTGCCATCTCTATGACGCAGCCATAGTAGATGGCTGAAATGGCTGAAATGGCTGTCCCCCAGCCATCTTTCCCAAGATGGCTGCGATGTAGCCAGCTCAGCCAAGAGCTCACCTCGAGGCGGGCGGTATGGCTGCGGTAGTGCGTCTCCATCCAGCCATGTCTACTAAGGATGGCTGCCATGTGTGTGTTGCAGCCATCGGGCTGAAGGATGTGGCTGCGCACTGTAGCTAGCTCAGCCATCCTTAGGTAAGATGGCTGTCTAGGAGCCAGCACAGTCATTCTGGTGTTACATTCCGAGGTTAGCCCCGAGGCCCGAGGGGAGCACTTGGGGGGTTGGGTTGTTTGCGTTGGGTTGTTCGAGTGAGGTTGGGTCGTCGGCGCGATGGTGAGGTCTCGACCGCCGCCGCTCACGCCAGCGAGCGGCCACCATCGGTGTTTTTGGCTTCGCCACCGTCCAAAGCGTGCGCCATGCGCTCGCCGACATCGAACGAGCACGCCTGTCCGACGAGCGGCTTGCTGTGCGGACGCCTTCTTGTTTGTGGCTCTCGTCGAGAGCGTTTTGCGGCCCGGCGGGTGTGAGAATGTGTGTCGTTCTGATGTGTCGCTGTGTACGTCACATCGATCTAGATAACAAGCACGGTCGATCCGTCGAAGCGATACACTCGTTCCTATCACGCTGGACGGCTTGCACGGAGCTCTGTGCCGGCACACAGGAAGAGCCGTGCGGCAAGAAGAGCTCGATGGGGAGCGAGAACCGTCAGAGGTGCTCACCCAGATTCGGAAGTCCGGACTTGATGCGGTCAGTTCCCCTCAGGTTTGACCGCGCAGCTCGCAAGACTCGTCGAGCACTCGCAGCCTCTCTGCGCCTCTCATGCTGCCGCTCTGCGGGAGGTTCAGTCTTTCCGGAAGATATCGTCGAGTTTTGAAAGCTGCGCGGTCAAACCTGGGGGGAAATAAGAGCGTCACGACGGACTTCAGGTTTACCTTGCTCTTCTGACGCTTCTCGCTCCCCATCGAGCTCTTCTTGCCGCACGGCTCTTCCTGTTTGTCGGCACAGAGCTCCGTGCCAGCCGTCCAGCGTGATAGGAACGAGTGTATCGACTGTGCTTGTCATCAAGACCGATGTGACGTACACAGTGACACATCAGACGACACACATGGGCCGCCAAAACGCTCTCTCGACGAGAGCCACAAGAAGCCGTCCGCACAGCAAGCCGGTGGAGGCCGAGCGCGCGGAATCGACGATCATGGCGTGCCGGCCGTGGGCCCGGACGAAGGTCCTGGCTCGAAAACGCGAGCAGAGGCCGCCGTGTGGGCCACGGCGAGCCTCGGCGAGAAAGGTCACCCTATCTCACGCGGTCGGTTGGGTAGACAAGTCAACCCAACTCAACGAACCCAACCCCTGCACAACCCAACCCAACCCAAAAAGCACGATTCTGAAGATGGGCCCTCTATCTGATACACGGACACTTCACCTCCCAGAGCTCGTCCCGGTCCGCCACGGTCATCCTCGGCCTCCGGAGCGCCCCCGGCCGCTGCGCGGTGCGGCGGAGTCACAAATCCGATTTTCAAAAATCTCTCTCAAATCCGACCACAGAGCACCGGGTGAGTCCATGTACGCCTCAGCGGGTGAGTCCTGAGGTCCAACTAGGCGTATGCATTGCTCATGCCGGCACCGCCTAAGTCCTTATCAGCTGGTCGGCCGCCATTCGGGCCTCCCGGCCTGCTGCGGCGGCGCGGCCGGTCGAGGCCGGGCTCGGCCCGGCCCGCGACGGCTGGCCGCCGACGAGCGCGCTCGCGCTGCTCGTCAAAATGGCGGCGGTGGCGATTGCGGCGACGGTCGTTCAGTCGTACAGCGCTCAGGCGTCTGTCATCTGTCGTCTGTTGTCGCATTTCGCACACGCGCGCGCCGCGCGACCCGCGTCGCTCCGCGAGGGCATGAGCCTTCGGATCCGCGATTCGATCCCGCAGCCAAAAGCTGCTCGCTCGAACCGCGGCCGACTCTACCATCGCGGCCGCAGCTGTTGAGCTCTTCAGAAGACTGGTGCCTCATATGCTGCCTCCCTGCGGATACGACTCGGAACGCGAATGTGACAGGACTGGGTCCTTCAGCCACCAAAGCGAGATCACCCGAGAGCAGCTGAGCCTGCCTCTGGCCTCGCCTCTCCCTCTCCTTCAGGCATTCGTGGCATCCTATGGGTCGTCCAGAGTATCGACCTCTGGCGAGTCAGCCAGTCACTTGATGACACCATGAAGTACAGCGATCGCCACCTCGCTGGCCTCTCCGCAGGCCCCCCCGACCGCGTCGAACTCATCGGCGCGGGCTCTCTTGGCTACGGGACCGGCCCCAGCTTCGGCTGAGGGCTGACAAGCTGCCGAGCCCAAATCACTGTGAGAGTCGTGATTTCTTGTTGGTTTTCTAAAATCTCTCTCTCAAAATGCGCCTGCGGGCGGACCCTTACAGATCACTGATCACTGTTGGTCTTCAAAAATCTCTCTCTGATCACCTGCAGATCACACCTTCCAATTAACCATGTCCGCAAGAAAACCGACAGATCTCGGCCGAGCAGGACTCCACATACACATCAGGCTGCTCTCAATCCTAGCCATCCGCAAGTAACCATGTCCGCAAGAAAAACGACATCTCGGCCGAGCAGCACTCCACATAATGTGTTATGCTTTTCATCGCACCGCTGACCGTCGCTCCCACGCTGGCGCGCGCGCCCAGGGCCGTCATCCGGCCGGCTAGCCCCATTTTCATGGCGGACGCGGCGGGCGTCGCTTCTTGGTACGACCAGGGCGTCAGGCTACGTGCCTCGCCACCCCCCGAGGGCTACGTGCCCCAGGGCTACGCCGATGCGGCTGCGGCTGCGGCTGCCGACGAGGTGAACGTCGCGCTTGCAGAGGCGGGCGAGGCGGATGCTGATTTGGAGGCTGCCATCGAGGCGGAGGAGAAGGCACTGGAGGAGGCGGTGGCGGCGGTCGGCCCTGCGGTCGCCGAGGCTGTGGCAGAGGCGGCCGAGGCGGCGTCACCAGCGGTTGCTGCAGAGGCCGCCGCGCCCGAAGCTGCTCTCGCGCCTCCTCCGGCGGTGTACGTGGCTCCGCCGCCAGCTGCGCCGCCGCTTGCGCCGCCGCCGCCGCCCTCGACGCCGCCGCCGCCCTCGACGCCGCCGCCGCCCTCGACGCCGCCGCCGCCCTCGACGCCGCCGCCGCCGAGGACGAGCAGCGCACTCACCACGTCGAAGCTCCCCGCGGCGGTGGGCGGCGCCGCTCGAGGAGGGCGGCATTTGCCCGTGACGCGCCGAGCGCGAGCCTGCGGTCTGGTATGTGGTCTGGTAGGTCGCCGCCCAGCTCGAGGAGCTCGACCTGTACGACCCGACGACGCTCGCGCGCGACGACCGGCAGGAGGTGCTGGGCACGGCGGCGGTGGGCGCGCTCGGCCTCTTCCTGCTCCCGCTCTTTGAGGTCCAGATCCGAGAGGCCGCCGAGAGGCCGCCGAGATGCGTCAGCCGCGGTCTCCTCCGTTTGGTGTCTCGGCTGGATGTCGCAGCAATCGGGGCGATGTCTCCGCTAGGTTGGCCTCCTCGGCGATGTCGCGCTGTCGGTGTGCCGCGCTTCCCTGCTGTGCATTGGGACGCGTCCACGACGCGTCCACGCCACCGGCCGCGTAGGTGCTGCTCGGCGGAGGGGCGGCCTCGTACGTCGCGCTGCGCAAGGACGAGGTTGGGGACGGCGCGCGCAGGCTCGTGGGCAAGACGGCCGTCACCGCGGCGGACAAGGCGCGCGAGTACGAGCGCGAGCAGCAGCTGACGGCAAAGTCTGCGGCCAAGGCCAAGGAGGTCGCGTCGCAGGCGTGGGCAGAGCTCAAGAAGAGCCTCGAGTAGAGGGATTGGGCGCGGCGTTTCGCCGCCGGCGGGGGTCGTACGTCTTTCTCGCCCTCGACGGCGGCGATGATGATCACAGCGGTTCTTTCTCGATTTCCCGTCGGCCCAGCATAGATTTCCCGCGCCTTTGCGCAGACACAGCATCCAAACAGAGCATGTATTCGATCGGCTAAACGATGGGTTCCGCGTGCACACACGCGGTCAAATGCTCACATAGCGGCCCCGAGGCAGCTACAAAATTAGAGCACTTGCATACGGTGTATGTAAACACCCTTCGCTACGCGGACTATGCTCGTTTTAGTGTTTAGCTTTTACGTATGGTGGTAAGGGGTTTAAAGCGACCTCACCCCGGTCACCGATGCGGCACATCCGGCGGGCGACTCTGACCACAGGGACTCTGTCTCTGAGTCTGACCTCTGTGCGGCGCGCGCGAGCGACTGCCTCGCGCGGTGCCGGTGGAGGTGGAGACACCCCCATGCGCTAATTCCTAATTGTGGATGTCAGCTGTCGGCAATTACCTCCGCCCGTTAGTTTTCGAGCTAATTGTACGTTCAGCTAAGCCCCCCCCTCTTCGACGAGCCGCTGCAGCACCTGCGCCTCTGAACGACGTACCAAGCTTGCTAGCTCGTAGCTGTGCGCAGCGTGGACGGCATCCAGCGGCGCCAGCCTCGGCGTTGCGCTCAAGCGCGCTAAGCCGCTGGCGCGCCGCGCCCGCGACGCGTGACGCACGTGCACACACGCTGCTCTCTCCTCTCGCCTCCCCCGCGAGGTCCGTGGCGAGATCCTTGCGCACTGCCTCAAGCTCGGCGCGGCAGCGCAGCTCGGAGGGTGGAGGGACGAAGCCGTAGTGGAGGGCGAATACGAGGTCGGGCTGAGGACCGTACGACACGAGAAGCTCCGCACCGGCAGGCTGGGCGCACGCCGCGCGCGCCACCAGCACCCCATCGCCTGTACCGCCACCCTCGCCGCCGTCATCCTCGTCGCCACCGCCACCGGCTCCGAAGGAGTACCGCACAGTCGCCGCCTCTGCGTGGTTGAGGGCGTCTAGGAGGGCACCAATATCCGACCGCCGCGGCCGCTGTAGCTTCGGCTGAGCACGGTCACGAGGGCAGCGCGTACCGCAGCGATCACCGCGTCTTCGCCGTGCGCCTCGACGTCTGTCGCGAGGGCGTCTGCGAGCAGCTCGCCGCACACGGCGTCAGCCTCTGCGATGAGGCGCGCCTCACCGTGCGCGCTCGTGCCGGCCAGCAGCGCCAACTCATCGTCCGACCACCAAAGGACGTTGCTGTGGTCATCGCGCGAGGGGAGCATGCTCAGGTACGCGCAGGGACCCTCGCCGTTGAGTCAACGAGGAGACCGGCGAGGAGAGCCACGTCGCAGCCGCCCGCACGGGTCCGATCTCCGAGTCGCTGCAGCGCCGCACCGATTCGAGGGTGCGCTAGCGCCGTGCCGGGTGTGAGGAATGCGCTAGACGGAACGGCGAAGAGAAGGTCGCCAGTGTCGACGCGCTCGGTCAGGAAGCCGCCGATCCCGTCACCGCAGCAGGAAGAGCGCAGTTCGACAGGCCCGAAGCGCGCACCATGCGCATCCAGCCAGCCAAAGAGCGCAGCAGAGTTGGCGGCGGCGGTGGGTGCGAGTAGGAGTGGGAGGGCATCACTGTCGGCGATGACAAAGAATTTTTCGCGAGCCATCGCAATTACCTCCCGGCTTTTAACCCTCTGGAACGGACGGCCGCATGAAATACCAGGAGCTGCTCGACCAGGCATCAGGAGAGGTGGATTCGGCGCCGGAAGCGTCCGATTGCAGCAGAGCCTTCAGCAAGGTCCGGAGATGCTGTTGCCTCACCGCTGCGGCGCTGGCTGGCATTCTCGCGCTCCAGCTGGTGGCGTGGAACCAGCAGGCGCATTGCGATGTGAGTGGAACTGAGATGGTCTGGAGTTCCCTGCTGCCCAACAAAACGACGATGCAGTACCATTCCCCCTGGTTTGCCCATGAGGTCGACGTCTACGGTGAGGCCGGCTCGCGCGAGGGCGTATGGACCGACACGAGACTATTCTTCGGGCTCGCACGCGGCTTTGTCTTCACCGACAAGGCGAATCGAGTGGTGCTTCAGGCGAGCAAGCCGCTGGGCTGGTACTCGGGCCTGCGTCTCAGCCTTTGGTCGTGCACCGGCGGCGACACTTACCGCATCACAGAGGACACCTGGCGGCCAATGTTTAGCTTTGGCAAGGGCAACTACTTTGACATTGTCGTGGCGGGCAGGGTCGTCGCAAGAAGTAGGAAGTACACAGAGTGCGCGAGCTGCCCCTCCATGTTCCAGTCCAAGCAGATCCTCCTGGAGGATCCGCAGGGCCGCGAGATCGCGCGGGTCGTGCAGGAGTCGCAGGCACAGGCGGGGCTGGCGAGCAGGAGGTACTATTCGACCAATCTTCAGCCAGAATTACTCCCCAACGAGGTGGTCTCATTCTTGGGCGCAGCATTCGAGATCGAAGAGGTGATATCGAGTAAGAGAGAGGCTGACGCGTGATATCGAGTAAGAGAGAGGCAACGCGTGTCCCGCTAGTTTACGTCTTCACAGAGCTGTCGCTGTGATAGTGGTCAGTGTAAATAAATAAAACTCTGCGACGAGATGGGATTTAGGGACATGTGTCCCCGCCCTGCACGATCTTGGTGTGACGGATCTTCAATCCGCCCCCCTCACCCCTCGTCACAATAGTGGTCAGTGTGCTGACCTCTGGGGGGGCGCGGGGGCCCCCGGAGGCACCGTGCGCCGCGCAGCAGTGCGGAAAAACGGGGCTCCGGCTCTACTAGTCTCTACTAGCAGCAACTTCCCGAATGATCACGGTTGATCAGAGGGCATATTTGGAGAGATCTCGAGGAGTACACACAGATAGACCCTCTAACGATAAGAAACCTCCAACCTGATCGGTCGTACTGACCGCCGACAGATCACTCCAGACAGCAGACAGGCCGACGTCTGCACGCGGCCGGCCGGGCGAGAGGCTTGACACGATCCGACCCTGCGATCCTGACGCTGCTGCTCTAGCTATCAGACATGCACTGCTGACTGCTGCCACAATGTGCGACCTGTGCTGGCCCACTTGGCGGCCTTCCCCGTCAGTGGTGAGGCGCAGTTCAGAGCTGTCGATGGCGCGATGCCCGCACTGGTCCCACATTGGTGACACCAGACCACCAAGTTTGCCGGTCCAAGAGAGAGGCACCGGCGCTGCCCTGAGAAGGTGCGTGGTCCCTCTTGACTGCCCATGCGCGCGAGGCTGTAGGCATAGCCTCGAGAGTGCCAGAGCCAGTCCCAGGCAGTTTGTGACGCGCATTGCGTCAGAAGCGTGCACGCGCTGGAAGGACACCTTCCTACTGGCCATACGATCATGTCGTCACTGAATACTGGATACTAAGGCCGCGAGCTATGCGGGTGATCAATTGTGCAGCATGGCACGGTCAGCAGCGCCGACGACAGACAGGCGGTCGCAAGGCGTGACAGCATGGCCGCATCCCATGAAAACAAGTAAAACCCGCTGAGAAAAAGAAAAAATCTCTCGAAAAAATCGGTGCCTGCGGCGGGCCATGGGACCCCATCTCCCCCCCGCATGGGTACCCTCTAGGGGCCCCGCGCCGGCCCAGAGGTGCTGACACCCCAGGGCTGAGAAGAGTTACGTGAAGTTCCCTGCAGAAATCACACGTGTTGCATCTCAACCTCGTTCATCTACTTTCACACGATTAGCGCACAGACTCTACGACTTCGACGCTCCAAACTCTCCCCCTACGCAACGTGCGGGTTCTCTGGCGAGTTCTTCCGCACTAGCCGGCGCGCGTCCGGCCCGTCTGGGTCCTCGCCACCGTCGATGTCCGGGTCCCCACGCGCGGCGGCGCGGCGCCTCGACAAGGTGGCCGCGACCAGCTCTGGCCGCGGCTCTCGGAAGCCGTGCATTGGCGAGAGGAGCGGCGTGTCGCGCACGTAGTCGATGATCCGCACGCTCGCGGCCGTGCAGCTCGATAGGATGATACGCACGCCGAGCGGCACGCTCACGCCGCGCAAGCACGCCTCGCGGAGCAGCACGTACATGATGGCACCGGCGGCCGAGGAGGCGGCAAAGCTCTGCGAGCCCATCGCCACGTCGCGCTTGCATATCAAGTCGCGGATAATGCCGCCGAAGCATCCGCTCACGCCCGAGACGCAGCACACCACCGGGCTCAGCCCGCGGCTGATCGCCATCGCGGCGCTAAAGACGGAGCCCGAGCTGATGGCGATGGTGTCGAGCGCGTAGAGCCATCCTTGCCCATCGTACGACACTTTGACAAGGTGCTTGAGCTCAAACTCGTCCAGCACGCCTGAGGGGGGCGGAAGGGCGGGCCGCCGGCGTGGGCAAGCCTCTGTCTCGGCGTGCGTGTGCGGCGGCCTCTCTGCGGCGGCGGGCGTCCAGAGGACCGTCGTTGTCCTTGTCGAGGACGATGAAAAGCTGCTCGGGCGTCGCAGTCTCGATCGCGTAGCCTACAGAGCGCCAAAGGCCCAGCCGTTTAGGCGGCGACGCCCCTCCGCACACCACATCTGGCCGCTACTCGGGGCGGCCTTTCTTGAGCAGCTGGAGCGAGAGGACGTTCCGCACGCGGAGGAAGAGGTCCTCGTCGCGCAGTGCCGCCAGGAAGGTCGCGCGTGAGATTGGCTCCGCCGCGATCCGCGCCTCGTCCTCGTCCACCTCGAGCCCCGCGATCTGCCGTACGTCCAGCTTCCACCACGGCTTGGAGAGCGCCGCGGCGGCGCGGATCTCGCGCGCCTGCCGCTCGGCAAAGTGGGAGGAGAGGATGGGCCAGACGATGAAGGTTGCCAGCGACGCGGTGATGGCAACCACCAGGTTGGTCGGGTCGCGTACCCAAACCACTGGCCGCCCAAACAGCAGCGCGTTGACGGTACCGCCGCCAAGCGAGCTCACGCAGCCGACCAGGGCGCACCCGACGATGTTGAGGCCGGCCTCGCCAGCGACCTGGGTGCCGGAGATGGCCCAGCTCGCGGTGCCGATGATGCCGATCGCCGTGAGCAGGTGGTTTGCGAACTGGCTCGCGTCCTCGGGCTGCTCGACCACGGAGAGGAACGCCTCGCGCTCAATATCGAGCTCTTGCCGCCGCTGCGCGAAGCGGAGGAAGCGGCGGCGCGAGCCGGCAATGTCACCCCCCTTCTTGACGCCTGCACGGCTGGTGAGCGACGAGATCTCAGCGTCTGTCAGCCGCACCTCCAGGAACTGGCTGCGGCGGCCGAGGTCAAAGGCGGCCCGCTCACGGAGCTTCACCCGCGCCTGGTGGAGGATGAAGTCCTTGCGGGTCGGACCGAGCTCAGGGCCGATGCTTGGAATGCACAGGCCGCGCCGTGAGCTGTGAGCTGTGAAGGTCGGCCCGCAGGCAGATTTTATATCCCGAGGCGGTGCCCCGCGCCGTGGCCCAATCCTCGCCACCCCGAGACCGCGCAGCGGCCGCATTGCCGCTCGGCGGGATGCCATTGCGCTGGCAGAGCTTGCTGCGGCACACGCTCTGCCGCTGCTGAGATCGGGGCTGCGCTCCGTGTGTATGCTCGTCGACGGCCCGGACGTCCTCCGGAAACGTTCTACAAGAAATGGTGCTTGAAATGTTGTAACCAAGACACAGAGCTCACACAGGCGCTTTGTGTATCTCGAGACCTCGAGAGAAGGCCGCCCGCGGGCGGCCCAAGTCGCGAATTGGCTTTCTTTTGGCGGGCAAGCTTTTTTCTCCTTTCCGCGAGACAGAGGCGGCGGCGCTCTGACTTTAACCCGTCTAGGTGCCTCTGCTCGGCTCGCTCTCCGACCAGGTCGTCGGACGATGCTGCACGATGTTGTGCGTGCCCTACTCCTCGTGCGCTGCCCGGAACGGCCGCCGCTCGCTCGCTCCGGCCTGCAGGTGCAGCTCAGTGTCCTCCGCGAGACGACTGAGCCGCGAGACCTCCCGCCGGACGCACTCATCCTTGAGGAGCCCGCTGCGGACGTGTGGCTGGACGAGACGTTCGAGTTCCAGGGCCTGGCGGAGGACGACCAGACGCCGCACGCGCTCCGCTCGCACCTCTGCTCGTTCCGCCTCCCGTCGGGCGTCGGCTGCCACGCCTTCAAGGGCGGAGGCACGCAGCTGAGCCGCTACCTGTGGCGCGGCGGGACGGAGGAGGCGCGGCGGCGCGGTGCCGGCCCGCGCACGGTGGCCGAGGACGACGCGCGCTCGCTGCGGCTCGTGGTCGACCTGCTCGAGGCTGTCAACCACCTGCACTGCCGCGGGTCGGCGCACCTCGACCTGTCGGGCGAGACGCTGCGCGTGCGCTCGACGTCGGACCAGCGCGACCGGCTCGACCTGATCGGCCTCGGGGCGGCGGTGAGGCTGCAGCCGGTCCCGGGCCGGACCGCGTACCAGCTCGGCACGCAGGTCGCCTTCCGCGCGCCCGAGTCGCTGTCCGGTCCCTTTTTCGAGAGCAACCTGCGCGCGCTGCTGCTGATGGACGCGTGGTCGGTGGGCGTGCTCATCGCGATGGTGGTCTCGTCGTCGGGCGCCTCGCCCTTCGCGGTGGAGGCGGACTGGGCGCGCGGCGAGTTCTCCGTCGAGGCGGCAACCTCTCGCGCAGTCGGCGATGCCTTCCGCGACTTTGCGCCGTGGCTGCAGCGGCTCGACGCCGACGGAGGGGGTCTGCTCTTCCGGCACGGCTGGCTGGTGCGGCTCGTGCTCGGCCTGCTCACCGTCGACCCGTCTCGCCGGCTCACCGTCCACGAGGCGTGCCTTCTCGCCCAGAGAGCGACCGCCTCGCTCGCCAGCGCAGCCTCTTTTGGCCGGCCACCGCAGCCGGCGGCGGCGGAGGCGGACCCGCTCGCGTTTGGGGTGGCGGCCGCGCCGGCGGGCGGTGCTTCCGCCGGCGGCGCTGGCGGCGGCGCGGCGGCGGCGGGGAGCGAGCTGCGGCGCTACCGCGGGCGGGGCGGCGGGCGGCGCGGCGGAGGGGGCGGCGAGGGGCGGGAGAGCGAGCCTTACCGCTCGCTCGAGGCGATCGTCAACATCGCGGAGCGAGGCCGCGCGGTGGCCACCTTCGAGCGGAGGCAGTGGGAGGGGCTGCGCAACTACGGCGAGGTGATCGGCTTCCGCAACCGCGCCGATGGCGACCGGTGGGACGTCTTTGTGCCGGGGCTCGAGTACGAGCTGCCCCTCGACACGCCCTTCCCGCTGCAGCGCGTGCTTGGCGTCGTCCTCATCAAGGGCGGCAACCACAAGCTCGCCATCGCGCTGCCGCCGCCGCACGCGCCCCCCTCGCGCGATGCGGTCGAGGCGGGCGTCCAGGACTTCCTGCGCATCTACGCGCGCGAGCACCCCGGCCAGCAGTCGTCGCGCATGCGCTACCTCGAGCTCGACCAGGCCGTCGCGGCGGCCGGCACGGCGGAGCGCGCCGCGCCCAAGCCGCCGCCCAGCGACAAGCCGCCGACGAGATGACAGCAGACACCATTTCGTCTTGGGCTGCGCGCTCTCTTTCGCGGCAGTCCGCTGCCGACGGCACACGCGTGCGTGCTCGATACGTCTCTCGGGCGGCGGGCTCGAGCGGGCGCCGGACCGGGCGCGGCGTGATACGTCGTAGATCTACACCACTTTGACGCTTGTGTACGATACGTTCTTGTTTTTGACTGGACACCTCCGAAACTGTCAGCAAACTGTCACCTCTCTGGGACTGGGTCAGCGCGCAGGCAGGGTCGTCCTCGTCTTGAGAGTCGCTTGTTTGTCTTGAATGTTGAAAGCGAGCCGCACCGCTCTTTGTGCGACCGGACAGATCCCCGCAGCGCACGTTCGACGTTAATAGGGGATGATAGGGTCGATTCTGCATGGTCTAGCGCATGGTACAGGACGCCTCGTTTTACTTTACCTTGACTTTGCGCCAGAGATATCACACAGACACACTCTTCTGGTCTTCTCACAGCGGCTGATTCACTGCTGATCCACAGCGTGACACACACCCTGCGCGCCTGCGAGCCGACACGCGAAGAACGCAAGCCCCCCCCCCCCCACCCCCCCACCTAACTCTTCTTCCCCTTTCCTATTCACCGTGGCCCAACGGGGTCAATCAAGCCTGCACGGCACACCGGACCCAGACAGAAGTGAGAAGAGCCCCTTAGGGTACCCTAGGGTTCTGAGGGCCGGATTTTTTTAAGACCTTTAAAAAATGAGGAGGTTTGGGGGCTCAAATTGTCATTTAAAAAATTGCAGGCACGGGGGGTCCCTCTTTTAAGGCCTCACCGGCACGCGTCGCTGGGTTCCGCGCCGGTTTCTCCAATACTGCCGTTATTAGGCACAAACCCGCCTCTGAAGACACATCTGTAATTCTGGTGCACTGGCAGGAGCCATACTCGCATAGGGGACGCGTGCCAGCTGACTGTAGCCAGCTTCCCGGCCTCCCTCCGGCGTCTTCTACCGGGGAGCCTCCCGGACCATCGACCTCGGGAGCTCTCCCGCACCGTTTAAGCGTTTAAGACCGTGTTTAAGGAATCGGCGGCCCAGCAGCTCTTAAAACCTGCCTAGGCAGGTTTTAAGCCGTTTAAGCCGCAGGCGCCCCAGGGCCCACCCTTTTAAGCCTAGGGGGGGGGCCTAAGAACTCGAGCCTAAGAAGAGCCCCCTGCGCCCTGATCTCTGGCTAGGTCTCTGGCCGATTCTTTTGCGGTATCTCCCTCTATCTCCCTCTATCTCCCCGTATCTCCCCGTATCTCCTCGCATCTTCTTCTCCCCGTCTCTCCCCGTCCGTGTCTCCCCCTCTCTCCCATCTCCCGGTTACCCGGCATCTCCCGGTATCTCCCGGTATCCCGCGGTATCCCGCGGTATCCCGCGGTGTCCCGCGGTATCCCGCATTGGTAGGTAGGTAAATTTCGGCCAGACCAGGGATCAGGTTCAGGAGAGAGAGTCGTGATCAGAAGTTGAAGTGTTACGCTCGGAACTAGAGGTAGAGGAGTAGGACTTAGGGCTTGGGGCTTGGGGCACCCACCACCCAAGTCCATGCAGTTAATGCGGACCCAGGCTGCTCCGCGGCGCCGGCTGCGTCGCTCACATCGCGAGCATTGCACATATGCCGGCGAATTGCGCGGTCACGCTCATCAATCAGCGTAGTCGCACCCGCTGCGTCCAGGGCCGCGGTGGCACGTTTGGCTGCGTCGGCGACGCTGCCGTGGCGTACCTCTGGATATCGTCCGGCTGCAGGGGCGATTTCACATGCAACGGCGCGACAGTGCGATGCGGCAGCACCGCGTTCCATAGATTTGAGCCAAGCCAGACGTGCGACTGTGGATCAATTGCTTCGAGTCGCGCGCCGCCGCCGGCAGAGCTGCTCCTTCGGCCTCGCTGCGCTGGCACGCTCCATTTTTTTGCGCATCACAAGACGGGGACCATCTTTGCACGCGCAGCAGTGCAGGGTCTCACTATGTCCACCGCTTCAACCAAAGTTAACGCGGTCTTCGACGATTGCGTCGCCCAGGAAGCGTGTGAGGTGGACAGCGCGGCGTGCGCCGTCCACGTGGAGCGAAATCCGCTCGAGACCGTCGTCTCTGGCTACCAGTACCACCGGCTCGGCTACGCCCACTCGATCCGCGAAAGGGCATCGGACCGCGTATGGCTGGACGCGCCGATGTGGAGCGTCGAGAGCGCCATCGCTAGCGCGAGTCGCCGCCGCTTCATCCAATGGGCGACGCAGCACCTGCGGGCGGTGGAGGCGGTGCGGCGACGGGCGCAGAGCGGGCCACTCGCCGGCGTGCTGCCGCTGCCCGAGAGCCTCAACGAGGTAGAGACTAGCCGAGAGCAGGGACGAGACTAGCTCCATGAGCTAAATCGTGGAGAGCCGCTGCCCGCATCTGCCCCTGCCCCGTGCCTGCCCTCCCGCGCGTTGCTCCGGACCTGCCGCCACCCCTGCGCAGTCCTTCTCGAGCTACCTCAGACGCGTCGGCGGTGACGAGGGCCTGCTCGCCGAGGCGGTGGCTGCTTCGGTGCGTACGCTGCCTGACATGAGCCAGCTGCATCGCGCCGTCCAGCGCCGCTCCGGCGTGAATGTGTGCCTCTCTACTCTCGACAGCCCTGCCCACGACTGCCGGACGGCGCTAGCGCGCGCGCTCAGGCCGTTTGTCCGAGCGAGCAAGGACGCGGCGACGCTGGCGACGCTCGCATCTCGCTACGCGTGCAGGAGGAGAGGGGCCGAGCCGCGGAGGCCACCCGCGGCGCAGCAGTCGCAGAGACGACTGCGCGAGAACCGCAGGCAGATGGCGCGGCTGGCGGAGATCGACCGGAAGCTGCTGAACGGCAGCCTTGCCGCGCAAGCCTCGCTGATCGGCTGCAGATCCGGCCCGGCGTACTCGTAGGATCGATCCGTCGGTCAAGAGAGTTTTGTTCGAACAAAACTCTCTCTCAAGAACAGCCGCCGGTCTTGGAGCACTTGGAGTGCAGTCATTAACCGCACACCCAGGGCCGGGGAGCTAAGAAGCGCACCCAGCGCGGGCCAGATGATTGGCATCGGGTTACGGGCTAGAGTCCTAGAGAGCCCTAGCCCTGGGGGGTGCGCGTTCGCAGGGAAAGAGGGCCGTAAAGTAAACAAGGTTCTCCGAGAGGGCTCCGTGTACCGGGTTGGGTTCCCCCAGCTGCATTTTTTTCTGAGCTTAGCCTTCGATGTTATGAAACAAACGCAAGGCGGACATGGCATATCGCTCTCCGTCCCAGACATTTTTTTCTCCTCCTTCCCGCGTACGTTCCTTATACACTCGCTTGCTGGGTTGCCGCGGGCGCCCGCACTCGCTGCCAGCTTTCGCTCTCCCGATGGCTACGCTCGACCTCTACTCGCTCGAGAGCCACCCGCATGCACGGTGCAACGACGGCACTCCGGCGGTGTACTACTTTCGACCGGCAACCGCTGCGGTTGGCCAGTCGCAGTGGACATTCATGCTCGGCTCTGGCGGGATGTGCTACGACCAGCAGTCGTGCAGCCGACGATGCGGTGCCGGCTCGTTCGACGTGCGAGACGGACGGTGCGGCCTGCTCAACGGCACGAGGACGCGCCCGCGCAACGGGACCTGGGCGGGCATCTTCTCCAGCAGCGACCCGGAGCTGCGGCACGCAAACCTGCTCTTTGTGCCATACTGCAGCAGCGACGCCTGGTGGGCAAACGCGAGCCGCTGGGGCATGGAGTTCCGGGGCAGTGCGATTCTCCAGGCGGCCCTCGACGAGGCGGTGACGCGCGGGCTCGGCCGTGCCGGCCGCAACGACACCCTCCTCTTTGGCGGCTTCAGCGCCGGCTCTCGTGGGGCGATGGTACACTTGGACTCGGTGCCGGCGATGCTGGGCGACGCGGCGGCGCGCGTCGACGTGCTCGGCGTCCTGGACTCGCCGCTCTGGCTGGACCAGGTGCCACTCGACGGCGGTCGCGAGCTGGCGTGAACAGCGTCTCTTCACAGGTACGGGTGTGGACAGGTGCCGCTGGGCGGCGCAGTCAGCCGGGCGGAGGTCGTGCAAGCAGCGGAGCAGAGCTGGAGCCTCGAGGGCGTCTTCGGAGAGGGGTGCGTGCATGCGTACCCTGCGGCGCGCTGGAAGTGCCTGCTGGGGCAGTACCGGCTCGAGCAGCTGCGCAGCCCGTACCTGGTGCGCGCGCACCAGTACGACCGCTACCTCATCGCGTCGAACGCGTTCAATGGCAGCTGGAACGCCGCGGCCCGGTGGCGCATGCCCGCGGAGCCGAGAGGAGAGAGCAGGGGCCTTGCGTGAGCTCCTCGGAGCCCCGCTGCAGGTGGCACGAGCCGGAGGAGCTGACCGAGGAGAGGCGCGCGCTCTACGCCGAGTCAGCGGCCCTCACCCGCTCCGTGCTCGCGCGGCTGACGGTCGGGCGGCCTCGAGACTCCGCGCCGCGCTCCGTCTTCTCCCCGGCCTGCTTCGAGCACGCCAACGCGGGCTCTGGCTGGAGGGGCTTCGAGGGGACGTACACGCAAGGCGACGTCGACCAGACGACACTCGAGGCGCGGCTCCGCGCAAGTCGAGCGCGCGCCCGAGAGACGTCCATGACACGTGTCCATGGCGCACCCCTGCAGGCGCTGCTCGCGCTCAAGCGAGGGCAGTCGGTCTCCTTCATCGACGAGTGCGCCGACGCCCTCGCCTGCGGCCGCGGCTGCAGGCCGGCGCTGCACTGGACCGCCTACCCGGGGACACCCTTCAAGGTGGCCGAGCGGGCGGCCGTCAGCGGAGAGGAGGCGGCCGCCGTCCCGCAGGCGCGTGGCGGGCCGCTGGACACGCGCGGCTGCGTCGCGGCGTGCGCCGCCTCGCCGGGATGCGCCGCGGTCGGAGTCGTGTCCGGCGGCGACGGCGCGGACGGCGCGGCGCGCGGGCTCATCGAGGCGGGCGGGACCGAGTGCCACTTCGAGGCGGGCGCGCTCAACTTTAGCGCGGTGCCGGAGCCCACCAACGGCACCGTGGACGAGCAGCCCACAATGCTGGTCTTTCGCCGGGTGGCCGCCCCGGCGCAGGCGACGCTGCTCGCGGAGCGGGAGACGCAACACCCGAGCCGCTGGGCCGGCCCTCTGTTGGGGGTCGCTCTGGCGGTGGTGGGCGTCGCCGCGGCCGCCGGCCGAGCCCTCCGCGGGTGGCTGGTGACACGCGTGGGGGAGAGCGGAGAGGGCGAGAGAAGAGCCCCGCTCTTGTGAGCGGGTGCCTTGCCATAACGCACCAGAAGGTTTCGTGTGTTGTGTGTATCCGATCTTCCGATGGCAGGCCCACGTTCCGGACCTGTGGGGGGGTCCCCGGGGCACGCATTCCTGGGGCATGATGCGTTCATAGTGCTCAAGTATTTTTGGAGCACTTGGAGTGCGGTCATTAACCTCACACACCCCTCTGGGGGGAGGCGGGGGCCCCCGGAGGCACCGTGCGCCGCGCAGCAGTGCGGAAACGGGGCTCCGGCTCTACACTAGTCTCTACTAGCACCGACTTCCCCAGTCGACTTCCCGAATGATCACGGTTGATCAGAGGGCAGATTTGGAGATATCTCGAGGAGTACATACAGATAGACCCTCTAACCATAAGAAACTTCCAACCTGATCGGTCGTACTGACCGCCGACAGATCACTCCAGACAGCAGACAGGCCGACGTCTGTACACGGCCGGCCGGGCGAGAGGCTTGACACGATCCGACCCTGCGACCCTGACGCTGCTGCTCTAGCTATCAGACATGCGCTGCTGGCTGCTGCCACAATGTGCGACCGGTGCTGACCCACTTGGCGGCCTTCCCGGTCAGTGGTGAGGCGCAGTTCAGAGCTGTCGATGGCGCGATGCCGCACTGGTCCCACATCGGTGACACGAGACCACCACGTTTGCCGGTCCAAGAGAGAGGCACCGGCGCTGTCCTGAGAAGGTGCATGGTCCCTCTTGACTGCCCATGCGCGCGAGGCTGTAGGCATAGCCTCGAGAGTGCCAGCAGCCAATCCGAGGCAGTTTGTGACGCGCATTGCGTCAGAAGCGTGCACGCGCTGGAAGGACACCTTCCTACTGGCCGTACGATCAGGTCGTCACTGAATGCCGAAGACTAAGGCCGCGAGCTATGCAGGCGGTCAGTCGAGCAGCATGGCACGGCCAGCAGCGCCGAAAGGATGTCGCAAGGCGTGATAGCATGGCCGCAAGTACGCCGAATTCCCATGAAAACAAGTAAAAAATGGCGCGAAAAAAATATAAAAAAATCGGCGCATGCGGCGGGCTGGGGGACCCCATCTCCCCCCCGCATGGGTACCCCCTAGGGCCCTCGCCTCCCCCCAGAGACACACCCACACCCCACACAGAGAGAGTCAGACATGGACACGCTTAATCACGCTTTCCACTTCGAGCCAATTGCTTCGAGCACTTGGAGTGCGGGTCGGTAGCGTCATGTATGTGTGAGTGTTCGGCGTGCCGGACGTCGGCCCGGCCGCAGGCGGGGCGGCATGCCGCGGCTCAGCTTCAGGTGAGTTCATCTTGCCGGCGGTACCCGACGCTGCTCGAACGGCAGTTGTCGACCGCCGGCAGTTGACCGGCAAGATGAAGTCCACTGCGCTCGAAAAAAATACCACCGGAAGCGCCTCGCCGAGGCGCACAATAGTCCTTAGTCTGACAACGGCCAGTTCTGTCATCCTGGTGCTCAAGGAAACGGAAGCGGCGAAAGCCGACGCCCCTTGGTAGGTTTTGGGCCTGGGCCAGATTCGGGCTTGGAGTTGGCCGCGTCGAGTTTTGGATCTCGACGCGCCCTTAACCTAAACGCGCGTCGAGATTAGTGCGATTTTTGGCGATTTTTGATGGCCTATTTTTCGCTTGGCAGTGGTGGGAAATCGCACTATTTAAGGGCAAAAACCGATTTGCTGTGGGGGGCGTCACCACGGGGCTCACCCTGTTCCGACCCTGATCCGACCCTGATCCGACCATGTTCAAAGTGATGACGGTCGGAACAGGTCAGTACTCAGCTTCGGTCTGATCACAGTCGGATCAAGGTCGGCACAGGTCAGAGTCTTACCCTGCTGGGCAACCGCACACCCCGCATTCACTCAGTCAATCGGCCCGCCTACTGGGCACGATCGACGACAGTCCCGGCACATGCACGCACTCGTCCTGGCCGCGGCGGCCCTGCACCGTTTTGCCGCGCCGCTCGCCGCGCTCCGGCCTCGCTGCGCCGTCGCCTGCCTCAACCGGCTTCTGCTCGAGCCGTCCGAGTGCGCCGGCGACGGGACGGCGACGCTGCCCGCCGATGACCCGCGCACCCAGCACGTGAGGGTGGTGCTTCGCGCGCGGGATGGCGCCTCCATCCGCGCCGGCGTGCTCGACCGTGGCAGCAGCGACGAGGCGACAGTGTGCTGGCTGCCGGGAGGCGCAGATGACCCGCCGGGGCTGCGGCTGGCCCTCGGCGAGCCGTCGCGCCTGCGCCCGGCGGAGCGGCCGCGCATCGATCTGCTGCTCGCGATGCCGCGCCCGCTCCAGTTTGGGCGCCTGCTGCCGATGGTCGCGTCGCTCGGCGTCGGCACCGTGTACGTCACCGCGGCAGCAAAGACGGAGAAGTCCTTCTTCTCGTCACACCTGCTGCGCGAGGACCAGGCGGCGCAGCAGCAGCTCCGCGCCGCCTTGGTGGAGGGCCTCGCCCAGGCCTCCGCCGCGGCCGCCTCGGCGCGGCCGCCTCCGGCCCGTCCGTGGCACGCCAGGTATCGGTCTGCCGTAGGCCGGAGACACGGCGGTCCCGCGCGTGGTCGTCGATCGGAGGCTGCGCTCGTTGCTGCGCGACCGGCTCCCGCAGTACGGCCGCCGCCTCGTCGCCCACCCGCGCCGAGAGGGGAGGGACGCGCGCACCGTCGGCGAGGCGCTGAGCGGCCTGGCTTCGTCTCAGGCCGCTATCGACGCCGGCGAGGGGCAGGACGGCGCCGGGTCCGGACCCCGCGTGCTGCTGGCGGTGGGGCCCGAGGGAGGGTGGGACGAGCCGGCCGAGCTCGAGCTGCTGCGGGAGCACGGCTTCGAGGAGGTGACGCTCGGGAGCCGCACGCTCCGCACGGACGTCGCCGTCGTCTCGCTCCTCTCCGTCGCGCACGCGTCGCTGGGGTGACGTCTGACGAGAAAAAGGGGGCTGGGGGCGCGATAATAATATTCCCGCACTCGCACGACTCACACCTCACAGTCAATAATACAAAAAAATACATACAGGCGCGAGTGTCCGTCAATCGCGTGAGCGGTGAGGAGGACACTGAGGTGTGTACGAGGTGTGTCGTGTGTGTGTTGCTGCGACGGCCGTGCGGCGAGCAGCGTTTGACAGTCGACTCACCCGACACCCGACACCCGCATTTGCCACGCTCCGTCGGCACAGAATTTCGCGTGGCACGGTCCGCGCTGGCTGGCTGGCACCCCCCCGGTCCCGGTCCATCAAATCCCACGCCGCGCCCAGCATGCAGCAAGCAGCCTTAGCGGCCCGCGACAACAACCGTCACCGCACCCGCCAGCGCCGCCAGCGCCAGGTACGGAGACGCGACAAAGGCAGCGGCCCCCGCAAGGAGGAGCAGCAAGGAGCGGCCGCCCGGTAGCGAGAGGTACGGCCCGTGCAAGATGAGCGCCTCGAGCAGCTTGGCGCGCCGGGCGCCTCCGCCAGAGGCGGCGGCGTGCCGCGCCGGCACCGGCACCGTCTGGTCGACGTCGAACTTCGCGTGCCGCCACAGCACGGAGCGCGGGAAGGTGAAGGTCTGGAAGGACCACTCGCCGTGGCACACACCGTGGCCCGAAGTGCCGACGCCGCCAAAGGGCAGGCTATGGCACATGTGCTGCAGGACGCAGTCGTTGACGACGGCGGTGCCGCTCTGCACGCGCTGCAGCAGCGACTCGGCGGCGGCGGTGTCGGCCGTGAAGACGTAGAGCGCGAGCGGCGTCGAGTCGATCCCGCGGATCGTCTCGACCGCCTCGTCGAACGAGTCGAAGGTGACGACGGGGAGCAGCGGGCCGAAGATCTCTTCGCGGAGGAGCGGCGAGCCGCTCGGAGGCGAGTCGATGAGCGTGAGCGGCATGTACTTTCCCTCGCGGTCCGGCGGCGCGGAGCCCACCCGCCGCTGCGTGCCGCCGCTCTCGGCGAGCAGCTTCGCCATCCGGTCAAAATGGCCGACGGTGCACATCCGGCCGAGGTCGGGCGAGGCGTGCGGCTCGTCGCCGAACATGGCTCTCATCTCCGCGGTGAGCGCCGCGACCAGCGCCGTGTGCTGCGAGCGGTCGACCAGCACGTAGTCTGGCGCGATGCAGGTCTGGCCGACGTTGAGCGCCTTGGCGTTGACGATCCGCCGCGCCGCCTCGCCGACGTCTGCAGAGCTGAGCACCACCGCCGGCGCCTTGCCTCCGAGCTCGAGGGCGGTGGGGGTCAGGTGCTCGGCGGCCGCCTTGGCGACGATGCGGCCGACTCGCGGGGAGCCGGTGAAGTAGATGAAGTCCCACTGCGTCGCGAGCAGCGCCTGCGACACCTCGACGCCTCCCGTGACCACACGGCAGGCCTCGGCTGTGAGGTACGCCGGGATCCGCTTCTCGAGAAAGGCGGCCGTAGCAGGGGTGAGCTCGCTCGGCTTGAGCAGCGTCGCGTTGCCGGCAGCAATCGCGCCGATGAGCGGCTCGAGGCACAGCATCAGCGGATAGTTGTACGGGCCGATGATCAGGCATGCTCCGTATGGCGACCGCCGGACAGCTGCATGCGACGGCTGCATCATGAGGTGCACGGGCTTGGGCTCAGGCGCGCTCCACCGCTCGAGAGAGGACGCGGCGTCCTTGGCCTCGCGGATGGAGACGGCAACCTCGCCGCCCGCCTCGGCCGCCGGCCGGCCCATGTCGGATGCGAGGGCAGCCACCGCCTCGTCTTTGTGGTCCTCAAGCATGGCGACGAGGGCAACGAGCTGCGCGCGGCGGAAGGTGAGCGACGAGCAGGCGCCCCGCTCGAAGCCCTGCTTGAGCGCGTCGCGCAGATCGTTGTAGTTCGTCGGCATCGAGGGTTTCTCGAAAGAGCAGTGCGGCTCGGTTCGGCGGGAGTCCTTGGCGACAGGAAAAGAATTTCTCGGTGGGCTGCGCTGTGAATACGTATTCCACGTATTCCAAAACAGCTCTAGAATGGGTAGTATTTGTATTCAGCGGGGCACGCGCGGAACGCGCGTGCCGACTGTGTATAAGCTATAAGACTGTACGCGCACGCGCGCGTGCGAGCCGCGCGCGTGCGTGCGCGGCGCGCACCGTACATAAGGAGGTCCCGCGCGTGGCGTCCGACGTGCTCACAGCAGCGTCCCCACCGCCCACCCCCCCACCGCCCCTGCCGCCGCCGCGCTTGCCTCACATCTTGAGGTCCTCCTCGTCCGAGCTGTCCGAGTCGGAGTCGGTGTCCCACTTCTCGACCGCCTGCTTGTAGCCGGCGGTCTGAAGCTTGCCCTTGAGGTGGAGCGCCTCGTGGCAGTAGACGCGCTTGTCGGCGCGACGGCGTGACCCATTTGCCCGCGCGCCGTCGTCTTGATTGCCCCGTAGACGGACCAGTTGCGCTCGGCCGCCGACGCGCAGACCGGCTGCGCGAGCACGCGGCGCGCGACAGCGGAGATGTGCTGAGGGGGGGGAGGTGGAATACGTATTCCAAAAACTTTCCCAAAAGCGACGTATCCGTATAAAATTTTCTTCGCTCCGCGAATTCACAGAGTAGGCAAAACAACTCTCTCTCACAGCAGACAGGCTCGACACAGGTACGAACTGGCGCGTGCTAGCACTATCACAGGCACACCACCGGAGCCGCCTAAGCGACGATAGTCGACAGGAAAAGAATTGGCGGAACCACCTACTACTACATGCCGAAGGTTCGAGGGCGACTACTCGCCGCCTGGGTCGCTCGGGGCGCGCGGCTCCGTCGAGGACCGGGCGCGCCCCCTACCCGGCGCGGCGTAGGTCCCACTCTGACGCAAAGAGGGGAGGCATCACTGTGAGAGTCGTGATTTCTTGTTGGTCTTCAACTGAGGGAGGGTGTAGAGGATGTAGAGTGTAGAGCGCTGTAGAGCTGTAGAGCTGTAGAGCGCTGTAGAGCTGTAGAGCTCTACATCCGCCGCGTGACAAACTGCCTGCGTTGTAGAGCGATGTATTGGAGAGGCGCTCTACAACGTGAAATCTCTTCGTGGACGACGCGGCCATGCCTCGACCGGCTACACCCACAGCTCCATCCTCGTCACCTCGCTCGCGACGCTCTCTCTCCACCAACGGCCTCAATGTACTGCTCAGATCGCTAGTCGCCGGCAGGACGACGACCGAATGCGGCGCCTCGCCAGCCTCGTCGCTCCTGACGGCGCCATCCGTGTCTCCCGGCGGAGGCATCGCGTTTCGAGCCACAACGGACTGCGCGCTCCGCTTTTCGAACCACCAAAACTCGCTGCACCCAGGTGCCGGTCGGTGCCGGTGCAGGTGCAACAAGTTTGCGCCCGGCCCTCTAGCGCCGCGCGCTGGCCCCGGCTGCGTCCCCGCGTGGCCTGCCCGATGGCGTGGCGCCCGCCCTCCACCCACCTCCCCGCGCGGGGCCGCTCCGGGGCGACCCGGGCGCCCTCCGACCAAACTGCCACACTACTATCATACTTACAACAAACTCTACATCATGCACGGTCGCTCTCCGACATGAGGCGCGTTGCACTTGCCAGTGCTGCCCTGGCCTTCTGTCTGCCCGCCCAATGGGTGGGAGGTGCCTTTGCTGCTGTGGCATGCCTCACGGCTGCGACTGGCCGGCGCCTCGGCGCGTCAGCTCGGCTCGGCGTAGCGATAGTGGCCAGCGCAACTCGCCTGGACTCAACGCTCAGCCAGGAGCTCCCGTACGCGCTGGCGCGAGTCATGGCGCAGGCAACGCGTCTGAATGCTCGCCTCGCCTCGCGCAAATGCAACCGTCCTCGCAGCCGACAGTCCACCGCCTGAAGCACAGCGACGAATGCGGCACCGGCGACGCATGAGCTGCTCCATGGCAGGCTGGTCATGACGCAGTTGTAGGGTGTTGTGTGTCGTCAGAGTGACTCTCTGTGAGTCAGGGATAGTCAGGGCCGTCCATCAGAGCTCCAGTAAGCTCGGAGACACCCCATTGTGCGACTCGACCTCTTTGAGTCACTGCCTTCCCGGCGGTTTGGCTGTAGAGCCTCTACAACAAACTCTACAGCAAAATCGCGCTCTACATCGCTCTACAACGCAGGCAGTTCGTCACGCGGCGGATGTAGAGCTCTACAGCTCTACAGCGCTCCAGAGCGCTCTACATCTCTACAGCTCTACAGCGCTCTACACTCTACATCCTCTACACCCTCCCTCAGGGTCTTCAAAAATCTCTCTCGGTCGACAGCCCAATCCATCAACTACATTCATCTTCTGGTGCTTGGCCCCGTGCAACAGCGGTCCGGCAGGCTGCCCCCAAGCCCCAAGGGCCCCCGGGCCGTTATGCTTAGGCACAGCTTCGGCGATGGCAGCCCCTCTGCGGGGTGTTGCATAGGCAGGGAGTCCCCCCCCGCTGTGGTCTCCTCCTTCCCATTTTTTCTTTTCTTTTGAGAGCAGAACGCCGGGTTTGTCTTGTATGTGCATGTGGGGCGTGCCGTGTGTCAGTGAGGGGTGGCGGAGGGCGGGGGTGCGCAAGGTCGGAGGCTCAACCATTCGTCGGCTCTCGGGGTTGGAGACGGGGAAGGGGGGGTCTGGACGGTCGGCGAGGGGGTCGTAGCAGGCTGGGCGTACGGGGTAGCCGCCACTTTCCTGCCTCACAAGGGCGGGGCTGTCCCGGAAAGTGAGAAACGCCGGGCAGCGTGGTGCACAAATTCAACCTCCCATTCGCGTTTGTCTCCTTCCTTTCCTCGGGCTGTTCCATCTCCCCATCTGTTGTTGGCAAATCAAGACACAAGAGCTCACACAGAATCACAGCGGGAGGAAAGCGGCGAGTCGCAATTCCTGGGGTCCTTGTGGCGGGCCACCCTGTCCAGAGAGGCATGGATGCCAATCTGGGGTCTCTCGACCGAGTCTATGAGTCCCTCCCGGTGGTGGCAAGGTTGAGCAACCAAGCAAGTGACGGAGATGGTGCGGGGGTACGGGTGTTCCAGGGGGGTCACGACACGCACCGACCCTTCAGCTGGCTGGAGTTTCACGACACGCACCGACCCTTCAGCTGGCTGGAGTTTCACGACACGCACCGACCCTTCAGCTGGCTGGAGTTTCACGACACGCACCGACCCTTCAGCTGGCTGGAGTTTCACGACACGCACCGACCCTTCAGCTGGCTGGAGTTTCACGACACGCACCGACCCTTCAGCTGCCGGTTTTTAATTCTTCTCCGCGGTGAACCGACTCCATGCTCCTCTCGCTCACGACCACCTGCTGCTCCGGCCTGCTGCGCCCGATCTCGCCGCCGCAGGTGATGGCGCACCACGTCCACTCCGCCGTGATGACGCCGGATCTGCACCAGTCCGCCGCATCGTTGCACCGCGCCGCTCGATCGCCTGCGTCCATGTCGGCCGGTGGCGGTGTCGTGCCCAGCGCAGACTACAAGCTCGCGGCGGTCTTCCTTTCGTTCGGCCTGGCGGTGCTCTTCGTGCCGTGGCTCGTGGGCTCCCTCACTCTTCTGCTCGGGATTCTCTTCCTCGTGCAGACGGCTCGTGTCAGGTTTGTCTTTGACGACGAGGCGTTCGAGGTCAAGGCCAAAGAGATTGATGCGCTGTTTGAGGACGACTCGCAGCTCATCTCCTCGGGCGAAAACTTTGCCGTCGGCGGTGAGAACCGCTGGGCGTACTCGTCCTTTGTCAACTGGTGCGCTGCCGCCTCCGCCACCGGCCGCCACGCCTCCACCACCGCCTCCAATGCCGCCAGGCTGACCACGCCAGGTCACCACAGCACGTCCCTTGGGCCAGGGACTTTTTCCCCTCCGAGGACTTGCCCGTGCTGGTCTACTTCAAGGAGACGCAGACGCCGCAGGACAAGTGGGACGTCGGGCCGGGCAAGTGGGCTAACTCGGAGGAGGCCAAGGCCAAGGGGGCGGTCCCGGGCCAGGCGCCGCGCCGACCCTCCCTCGCCCCACCAGTGCCTCCGACCAACCGCGCCGCCACCGCCGCCCTCGTCGCTCTCGCGGCCGACGTCGACAGGGCTCGCAGCCCCCTCGCCGCCCTCGCAGGTGCACTTCTTCCCGTGCATCGCGAGCGCCGCACAGCTCAAGGAGCAGTTCGAGGCGCGGGGCTGCGCCAAGCTCTGAGGACGGCGTGTGTGCCGAGCGCGGGCGGTTCTGGGCACAGCGGAGCCGCAGGCGCCCGCCAGGCGCGGTGAGCGAGTCGCCAAGGCCAGAGATCTGAGGCCGGAGTTTTATTGTCGGCCCGGGGGCCGCGATTTGTGTTTTTGTTGCGATTTGTTGGGTGGAGGGACAACCATGTTACCATGTGATCATGTGGGAGGGCACGGTTTCCTTACGTTACATGCAGTACGCGCGCCGCAGTGCGTAAAAGAAAGAAAGAAAACAGACAACCCAAGGGAGGGATGGGAGGACGGCGCGCCGCCACCACACAGGGATTTTAAGGAGAGGTGTGTGGTGCGCTAGCCGTCGCCCACCCTAGGGAGTCTGCCTCTCTTCCTATCTCTCTTCGCAGTCTCTCGCCGATTCTCGCTGCAATCTTCATGCCACCTCGCGGTCGTCCCACTCTCGTCGTTCTCTCCCTTGTCATTTCCTCCTCTGTGCGTGGTGTGTGCGCGCGACCCTGCCAATTTCTTTTTTGTTCCGGTCCCGTCCTCCATGCTAGGAGATGTGTAACACTGACTGACTAGTGCCAGTGCAGTCCAAAGAAAGAAAGAAAAGAGAAAACCCAACGGAGGGATGGGAGTGCAGTCCCGCCCGCATGATTTTGGCGGAAAAATTCTTTCGCACTGGCTCGCGCCTTTCGGCTGTGGTGCATCCCGCTGGTTTTCCTGCTCGCTCCTCGGCCGGGCTCGACGCTGCGCCTGCGACGCTGCCAGCGATGCACCCACTCTCCAACTCCTCTCCCGACGCAATCGCCGCGTGGCTGCGCGCGCACACGCCATCGGACTGGGCAGAGGAGGTCGCTTCCTATGCCCACCAGCACGCCGTCTCGGGTGCGACACTCTGTGAAGCGCTCAAGGCGCCCGACCCCACCGCAGCGCTCGGCGAGGCGCTCGGACAGACCAAGTTTGGGAGGAAGCGCAAGCTCAAGCTTCTGCTCGACGAGCACGCCGCCGTTCCCGCCGCACCCGCCGCCGCGTCCGCACCCGCGCCCGCCGAGTTGTCTGCTGCGGCTGCACCCGCCGCCGCCGCCTCCTCTTCTGCCGCCGCGTCCGCCTCCGATGTCGCGGACAAGGACGTTGATATGGAGGCGTGCGAGGAGCAGCTTCGCGCCGAGTGCTGGGCCCTCGGCACCATCAAGTGGTGCGGCGATAAGTTGGCAAAGACACTGCACAGCACCGACTGGGCGAGCGCCGAGGTGCGCAGCGCGCGGCTTGCTGAGCTGGAGAGGCGGCGCGAGGAGGCGGCGCTGCCGGGTGTGTCGGTGGTGGTGGTCGGCAACACGGGCGCCGGCAAGTCCACCCTCCTCAACGCGCTGCTCGACGAGACGCGCGCGCTTGCCACCGAACGCGGATGCGCGCCCGAGAGACCCTTCCTGCAGCCCTCCCGGACACCCTGCAGGCGAGTGCTGCCCACGAACGGGATGCGCGCGTGCACGGCGGCGCTGATCGAGCTGCGGCACGAGGAGAGCGAGAAGGCGGCGCCAGAGTACCGCGGCGAGGTCGAGTTCCTCTCGCAGGCTGAGTGGGACAAGGAGCGCCTCCCTCGCCACACTCTCCTCGCCACACACCCCCCAGACAACCCCTCGCACTCCTACACACTCCCTCTCGCGGGCCTCGCGGCCCTGCCGGACGGCCTTGCCGGCGGAGCACGTCCTCACGCCTCCGGCCGCAAGCAGGAGCTCACCGACCTGCTCGACGACCTCACGCCCAACGATGGGCCGAACGAGGGCCGCGTCGCCGTCTCGGAGGTCTCCGCAGACTCGCCGACCTACGCCTCGGGGGGGGCCCATCCTCCTCCCCCTCCCCCTTTCCCCGCCAGGCCCCTCCCCTCCAGGCCCCCCCCCTCCCCCCTCCCCCTCCCCCCCCCCCCCCCTCTCCGCCCCCTCTCTCCGCCCCTCCCCCTCCCGCTGCGGGCCCAGCCCTCGAGCCGCCCCCGACACGCCCTCGCCCTGCAGGTGCCGCCTCTACGCCCTCTACGGCGACACCTTCAAGAACTCGCGCGTCCAGACGGGCGAGAAGGGGCCCGACGGGCGGAACCTCTACCGCTACCCCACCCTCGAGTCGCTGACCTCAAAGCTCAAGGCGCCTCCCCCTCTCTCGCCACTCGGACACTCACGACCCTCTCCCTCCCCCCCCCCCCCTCCACCGCCCCTTCCTCGCAGAGGTCAGGGCTTGTCCCACCCCCTCAGCAGAGGCAGAGTGTAGCGGTAAAGGCAGAGGCTAGAGGTCAGAGGTGTGCCCTCCCTTGCCAGGCGGCGCGCGGCCGCACGCACGCCCTCGGGACCGTCAAGGCGGTGACGGCGCCGGACGCCAAGGCCTTCCGCCGCCAGCTCGAGGCCTTTATGGACTCGACTTCGGACCTCGTCAACTGCAGAGGCCGCTGTGCGCCCGACCGCTTCGGGCGGCCGCAGTGCTTCTGCGGCAACTACTGGCCGATCGTCAAGCAGGTGCGGGCGTGGTCTCGCATGTTAGTTAATCATTAATTAATTAACGAATCAAGTTAATTACTAAGGTGCGGGCGTGGTCTCGCAAGTGGCGCGTCCTCGCGACGGGCGCCGTCCTCGTCGACGCGCCGGGCGCGCGCACGCGGCGAGCCCCTCTCTCTGCGCGGCGCGGTCTGGGCGAGGCGGGGAGGGTGCGGCGCGTAGGCGTGCACGACGACAACTCTGCACGCGACGCCGTCGTCAAGCGCAAGATCAAGGAGGCGGACGCCGTCTGGATCGTCTCCAACATCGTGCGCGCCGTCAACGACAAGACTGCAAAGGACCTCCTCGGAGAGCACTTCCGGAGGCAGCTGCTGATGGACGGGCAGTTCGGCGCCCTCGCCTTCGTCGCCACGCAGGCACACCCAGACCACCCCACACGCGCGCACGCACACGCGCACACGCACACGCACACACGCACACACACACACACACACACACGCACACGCACACACACGCACACACACACACACACACACACCGCAAGGTGCTTGCACTTCCCACAGCCAGCCAGGACCCCCCTCCCGCCCTCTCCTGCGCCCCGACCCCTCGCCCCCTCCCCTCTCGCCGTGCAGTCGGACGTGCTCGAGCGCTCTGAGGCGCGCCCGTTCGCTCCTGCCGCCCCCACACGGGAGATCGCCCCGAGATCGCCGCAGACACGTGCGAGATGCACTCGAGCTGGCGTGCCGCTCGCTCAAGCTGAATCATTACACCCCCCCACACACACACACCCACCAACCCCACCACCATCGAGCAGGCGTGCCGCTCGCTCAAGCTGCCGCGCGACACGACGCTCCGCGCCTGCGCCGAGGCGCGCAATGCTCCGCGCGGCGGGCCACCTCGGCCGCTCTCGGCTCACCTCGGCCGATCTCGGCTCACCCTCGACTCATCTCCCGCCGAGGCGCGCAACGAGTACACGGCGGGCCGGCTGCGCAAGGACTTCCACGCGGGCCTCCGCGAGCTGGCGGAGCAGGCGGGCGAGGCGGACGCGGCGGCGCTCACCGCCCGCTTCGAGCTGCCCGTCTTCGCCGTCTCGTCCGTCGACTACCAGAAGCTCGCAGGGCTGCGGCCGGGGGACGGGCCGCCCCGCGTGTGGCGCGCCGGAGGAGACGGGCACGGCCGGCAGCTCGAGCCGTCCACGAGCCTTCTCGGAGCCGTCCCTGCAGGCGCTCGCAGGAGGAGAGTGGCATCCCGCGCCTCGCTCGGCACGTGCGGCGGCAGGCGCTCCCTCCCTCCCCC